TTTCTTTCCTGGCTGTCTCCTTCTTGCCACCACTTATCTGCTCCCCCCCCCCCACAACTATCTCAGCTGTCTGCCTCAGTTTCCAGCCCCCGTCTACCTTAAGTAAACTCAAGCCTCAATTCCTCAGCCAGCTTCTCTCTAGTCCACCAGTTCTAATCCTGGTTCTGGCTACTTTTACTCCCTAAACTTTAACTCTCTCTCTCTCACCTGAACCTTCCCCCCAGGTACCCCAAGCACACACATACACACTGTACCATCCAAGTTAGGAACTTACCTGTGTGTATGTGTAGGTGGGTTGTATGTGTATGAACTGGTGAGTGTGTGTGTGTGTGTGTGTGTGTGTGTCATTGTGTGCATGATATATGAATTAGTGATCTATGTCTAACTTTTGGGGTGTATAGTATATGTGTTTGAATCAGTGATAGGTATGTATGTGTCTAGGCTGCTTTGGATGTGTATGTGCCAGAGTTGGTAGTGTGTGTGTGTGTGCACCTAACTGATTTGTGTGTTTGTATATGTGCAATTGTGTCATACCCTCCTGTCTAACAGCACAATATTGAGATCCTGAGAGCTGGCCTGACCCCACAGGGCAACACATGAACAGCATGATGATCACAGAGAAACCAATCAACAGCATCCAGAAATGAAGAGGCATCAGGAAAGTAAAGTTAAAGAAAAAGCATAAAAGTAGAACAGCAAGGAAGCTGGGTGTGTGTTGCCATCCAGCAACACCTGGATTGAAAAACAGCCATTACCCAGAGATGACCACCCTCTACTTTCAGGAACTCATTGGCCATCTTTTCTGTGAAGTAGAGTAACATCTGGGTTTAGGTGGGACCATTGAACTAAGTGTTTTTCTTTCTCTCTATGTAGAAGTTAAGATAACATTTAATGTATTAATAAAAGTTAGATTTTAGTTAAGTTGAACTGTGAGAGAGATATTTCACATTAAATTCCAGGCTGATTATGCTTTGGTGATCCTTTAGCACCAAGGATGCATAACACCTCAGCTGAGGGGGCACCCAACTGTGGGAGTTTGCTTCTAGCTGGTGCAGGGGAACCTAGGATGGGTCTCCCCCTGCACCAGCAATAAGGTGTAATGGGATCTAATGTGCAGTCCCATAGTCACACCTCTTGCTGTGCATGTGTGCCATGACAGGAGGCGCAATTGTGTGGACTGTGGATTAGACCCCATAGCATGTGGGGGAGGAATGGCTGGGCATGCAGAGGCAGCAGGGGGCAGGTGGCAGCTGCACCTCTGACTCCAGAGCTAACCCCTGCCCATTGCTTCCTTATACTTGATTATAAGGTGAGGGACTTTATTCCCTATGTTAAATGGGGTGGAAAACCTCATTTTCTAATCAAACAATATGGTAATTGAAATAACTCAGAGGGAAATTGGTTCTATAACGTAAACAATGAAAAATGGAATTAAAAATTAATAAAAACTCCAATTACTACTGCAGAAAATTGATTTTTTCCTTAGCATTTAAGATATATTCACTCTTCTTTACAAAAAATTATACGTATGCGATTTGTGAATGTTTTACCACTAATTCAAGATGACACTCACCTAATCGGAGACATTCTAAGGAGGCCTGGGCCCAGTTTCGAGTAAGTGATGATTCAAAGTAGTAACAATGGCCGCGGAATGGGATCCAAGATCGACGTTCTGCTGTTTCAGGACACGTTCCTGGGAGTTGTGGAGGATCAGTGGGGGCCTTCACTGTTAAAAAAAAAAATCCAAATCATTTGACTGAACAGCTTTCTTATTTATGTTTTTACCATTAGTAGCATATATTAATTTGATGTGCTTTTTATTTTAACCAGAAAACTCCTCAGAGCTCTTAATCTCAATACAAGCTCTGTAATTCTATATCCCTTATTATTATGCAATACTGGAAAAAATCTGAACTCGTGAATAAATAATGTTGCTGCAGCATTTTAACCTCTAACATCCTTATTCAGGAAAGCATGTTCTTATCTTTAAACACATTCTTCTATTCCCACTCAGTAAAGTACTTAGGCATATACTTACAGTTAAGAACGCGCCTCAGCTCCATGTTGAATTTTACATGTTGAGCCCCATGTTGAGCTTTACAGATTTTGGACCTAAATCTGGTCAAATTGGATTATAAACCAATACTATTCTTGATGTAGAAAAGCTGCTCTGATGATTCTACAGGACTTCAAGTGCAGGTTAAACCAGGATATTATAGGAAGGGATCCTGGTTTTCTCTGATTTTAAAAATTCTCAATTTCCCTGTTAAAAAAGTAACCTAAAATCCACATTTTTCCATGATCAAAATAAAACACCCCATTTGGGGATTTTTTTAAATCATAGAAAACTAGCATGGCCCAAATAATTAACTTAAAAATCACAAAATATTTTTTTTTAATTTCACATCAATGGAAAAATAGAGAAGCCCAACAATCATGTATGCATTTATGTTTCAAAACCAAGTAGTATGAATCAAGAAAACTTATTCCTGTAATACTTACTTATTGGACCTAAATTATTCCTGTTTCCTTTACAAAAGTTACAAAGTCAAATTTCTTCGTGCTGTAGGAGAAAATGATTGTTTCTAGGTCTAGACAGTTGAAAGACTATTTTATTTATGAAAATGAAAACAAAATCCCTCAGGTCATGGAAGGTAAACGAAATAGAAACAAATTTGCAAGTATTTTGTTTACACTTACAATGGTTTTGGAATGTATAGGCTCTGCAATAATATGGTAGGGTTGAATTGGAATATCAATAGATAGATACTAATATCGTCCTAAATGAAATTTTTTACTGCATTTTAAAGTGGATGTTTTCAAAGTTAGAGCTGCCAGACTCTGGAATTATCTGTCAAGTGAGGTGGGGTGCTACTGGGACTCTCTCCTACCTTGGGAGTCTTCAAGAGGAGGCTGGACAGATATTTGGCTGGGGTGATATGACCCTGACACCCATTCCTGACCAGGGCAGGGGGTCGGACCAGATGATCTGTTTAGGTCCCTCTGACCCTAAGATACTATGATACTATGAAAGTATTGATAATGGTTTTAGCTGACCACTATTGTTGAAGAACAATAAATATAAGCATAAATTATTTCAAAATACACCAGTTGCTCCTCTGAATCTAGACAAATGAAAATTATTTTCAACATGTGGATCATGGGGACTGACAACTTTATGTTAAAAAGCAATATTCAGAACACTGGAAATAATTTGGTGCTAAATGTATTTAAACAACTATTTGATATTATTTTGCCTCATAGATCTGTGCATGCAGAACAATTAGTTTTCTTTGGATATTTCAACAAATTCTTACAGCCGTGGACAGTTGTTCATTTCTATCACCACAAATTTCCTGGTCTGGGGAAGGCTGGGGAAACAGCTAAAGCTGGACTTCACCCAATCACAGAGGAGACAAGAATAACATTCAGGTATTCATTATGGTGATAATCTCTAGAGGGGCATATCTTTCTCCTAGATGGGGCATATTTCCTCCCCAAGAAACTGTATGGATGCCTGTAGGCTGGAAATTTCAGATACTTTTAGTAGAAAGGTAACACCTTATTCAACATCTTCACTAATGATCTGGAAATGAAGATGCACAATGAAATCTCCAAGTTTTCAGATGATACCAAATTATTCCAGGTAGGCAAATACCAAAATGATGGAGAAGAGCTGCAGAAATATGTCACCAACCTAAGTGAATGGGCAAAAAAATGGCACATGAACCTTAATGTCGACAAGTGCAAAGTAAAGCACATGGGGAAAAACAACCTGAAGTATACATGCACAAGTCTTGGTTCTGAACTCAGGGGTGTTGGCTGTAGCTGTATTGGTCTAAGGACATAAGCAGACAAGGTTCTTTGGGTAATTGTGATGTCTTTTATCAGAACAACTAAATAGTTGAAAAAAATGATCATAGCAAGCTTTTGGGTACAAAAACCTTACAAAGAACAATTTTTCCAACTATTTAGTTATTGAACTATTGAACTAACTATTGAACCAACTATTGAACTAACGGTTACAACTCAGGAAAGAGGTCTTAAGGCATTGTAGGTCTCTAAAAACATTAGCTCAATGTGCAGCACCAACCAAAAAAGCTAATAAAATATTGAGCAACTTTAAGAAGGGAATTTAAAACAAAACTGAGAACATCATCATGTCTTTATATAAATCCATGGTGAATCCATATCTTAAATACTGTGTAAAGTTCTGGTCTCCACATCTCCAAAAGATGTACTAGAGTAAAAAAGGTACAGAAAATGACAACCAAAATAATCAGGGGGGGCGGGGCAGTAGCTTTACCAGGAGAGACTAAAATGGCTAGGACTCTTCAGTTTGGAAAGGAGAAGGCTGAGGGGAATATAATAGAGTTCTATACCACCATGAAGCATGTGGAGCAGATGAACTGGAAACTGTAATACACCAAATCCCAGGACATTAGAACTAGGGGCAGTCACAGAAACTAGTAGGAAATAATTGCCACAGAAGGTGGTAGAAGCAAATAGCATAGCCAGGTCCAAAAGGTACTAGACAAATTCCTGGATGATAGATCTATTAATAGGTGTTGAACAGAATGGCTGCAGATGTTTTCTCTGGCACCTCTAAACCAGTAAATGGGGGATGGATGTCACAGGGAAAGGGACATAACAAATAGGGAAGAGATCACTCTAGATATATTTGGTTCAATATATCTCTAAAGATAAAAAGCACCTACTTCTCCTACTGTGAGAGAGAGGATACTGGGATAGATGGACCGCTGGTCTGACTCAGTACAGCATTTCTTATGTTCTTAATATTAAGCAAAGTTCCTTTGCTGTGTCAAGTAACTGGAAAAAGACATAAAACATATAGTTTTATTTTGGCTTCATACTTGTCACAGTAATGTCAGTAATCTCTGTGCTTCTTCCTTCTGTCAACTCATAGATTTCATAGACATTAGGGCTGGAAGGGACCTCGGAAGATCATCAAGTCCACCCCCTGCCCGAGGGGCAGGAAGTCAGCTGGGGTCATAGGATCCCAGCAAGATAAACATCCAAATTTCTCTTGAAGACATTCAAAGTAGGTGCTTTAACCACCTCCAATGGCAGGCTATTCCAGACCTTGGGGGCTTGGACAGAGCCTGACACACCATGACTATATGTAGCCAGAATCTAAAACTAAGGGGTGGTCCTAGTAGGTGCTTTATACTAACCCCAGACTTCCAATAAAAAACTAATATCTCTTCCTTCTAATAATGTTGTTAGAGATTAAATGTTCAGATTCAATTGAACCATTTCTAGACTGTAAAAGTACCATACTCATCAGCAGGGTCCTCAAACATGTTATACTATTGGCTCTACATAGGCTTGAACCAAAGGCAGTAAAGCTATGTTTGCATAGCATGGTGAGCATGTGGAACAGTGTCACTCCACACATTTTCTCTATTTTCTCTTGGCTTTACCTGGTGTTCTGTTCATCTGGTGAATAATGCCCTGACTTTTTAAAATAGATTTTACTTTTACAGGTAACTTGTGAACACACTGGAAGGATGGGTCAAACATACTTATAGGTTTGCATGGGCAGATCTAGGATTTTGAAAATGAGGGTGCTGATGGTGTGGCACATCACCACACAGAACACAAACCATTTTTCTCCAGTTAAAGAAAAACAAAATGCTTTATTAATATGCTAAGAGGTAGCATTATATTACCCAGGTTAAGATCAAAGCAAAAATATAGGCAAAAAATATTCAAAAGATATTGTGTCTTAGTCCTGTATTCATTAAAATTACATGTATATCTCATTCAGATTTATAAAATAAAATCTAGCCTTCTTGAGACTCTTGAAAGTGCCTCCAATATTTCGCTGTCAATCATTTATACTCCTGAGTTAACCTTAGGACACCTGAGCTAAGGTTTGTAGCTAGAGCTAAAAACACTTTGTAAGGCTGTAAAATAGAAAAGAAACATGATCAGGAATGGCTAACAGATAGCAAAATTGCAAAAGGACCATTTAAATAGTGGAACATCAAGATCATTAAAAGTCATTAATACCTGTAGAGTAGAGAGAGATTAGCAGGAATCAGGGAGGTGACAATGAGCCATAAATCAATTGGCTTTCTCAGCACAACCTGAATAGAAATGTCACTTCCACTCTCAGGCAGTTAGTTTTAAAGTTTGGGTGGAAAAGGTATCAAAGGCAGGAGCATGCCTGCAGCACTGCATATCCCCTGGACCCACCCCTGTATGTTTGTGTTTGTCTCAACACCTAGCTGGTGACAAATTTAACAAGGAAAAAATATAAGCAAATAAAAGTGATAACATAAGGGGGTTTTTTCTCCTTCAAACTGCAGTTTTAGGGCTCTGGAGATGATGATGATGACATTCAATTAGAGGAAGGAACAAGTCTGTGGTTTTGGCACTGGATCAGCAACCAGAAAACTTATGTTCCGCTTGTTAGTTTACAATGTAACTTTGGGTGAGTCACCGAATCAGTGAGTTTCCTTTCTTTGTAAGAGGGGTCATGATCTGTCATTGTAAAATGCTATAAAAGCTATTCATTATTATTCCTCACCTAATATGTGCTTGCTTGGTTGATGATGCGTATACAATACCTCCTTTATTCATTCAGGGTTATTTTTTGTCATATATTTGTTTGGTAACATATGGAAACCGATTACTTATCCAGTTTTTCACAGATTACCATGTCATCTATACATGGACAATATTTATCAACATATTTCT